GCTGTCAAAGATCCCCCCCCCCCCGTAATCAATAACAGAAAGGAGATGATAGGGAACATTTTATAAACAGTTAAATAGTCTCTGCATTAGCTGTCCTGCAAATTACTGACCGCAAAAGAGAGGACCTCTTAGTAGGAGGGCTCTGTGCTGAGGCACCTGCCCAAATTGCCACTGCATTAGAGGGAATCTGCCCACTGATGCTTCTCTGTAATAAATTGTGGAAAGGTGAGGCTATGGGTTGTGCTGGATATAGAACCGGATACATGAGCAATACAGCGTGTGAACACCTATTAAAATAGAAAATTTACCCGCAGGAAATAAATATTTACCCTCCAGCTGTAAAATATGTTATGGGAGCAGTGAAGTGATTTTTACTAGCCCAGTATTTTGAGCTGGTAAACGATTATCATCTACTCAAATGGCACCAATAGATCAAAGATCGAAATAGCTAATGCCATGCTGGGATATCATTTTACAGCCCTATAAATTTCAGGTATATTATTAGGGCAGAAAGCATAAGCAGCTTGAATATTTTTATTCTATGGTAAGGAATAGAAATAGTTGAGAAATAATTTTCTCATAAACATGGAATATGTGACCAGGCTACTCCCTGAATAGTTAAAATGAAGTGCTCGCTATATGGCAAAGATGAGGTAATAAATTATGGGAATGTATTCTTTTAGTATATTTTTGTACGTAATAAAACTTCATTTCTTTTGCTGGCAACTATTTACAGGTTTTTTTGCTACTGCTCCTGTTTACCTTGCTCGTAATAAATTTTGGACCGTGCTGTTAAAAGCAAGCAACGCAGCAGCCAATCATCAGATTTGCAGAGGGGAAAAAAAAAAAAAAACCCCCAAAATAACTTTCCATGACTGCAGTGGGCTGGGGCTGCCCTCGTTTTTGTCCCAACCAGCCTCGCTAAGGCACAGAGCGGTCATAGGCCCACGAGCTTTTGCACGCGAAGGAGCTCATTTAAAACTTGGTTATTCGGGAAACTTAAAGTCAACTGGAAAACCTGTTAATTGTTCAGTCCGCTTCCGCGTGGCTCGTGCAGCGTC